AGAGGAGAGAAGTAGGGAAAAGAAGCAAGGAGAGTGAGGTTGGGAGAGGAGAGAGTAAAAATATGGTAGTGVATGGAGAAAGAGTGAAGGGGATGAGAGATTAGTTGGGAGAAGAGGAGAGAAATGAGAAAAGTGGAGAGAGGAGTGAGAAAAGGTGATGGATGAGTAGTAGTGAGAGAAAAAGAAGGTCAGATGATGAAGGGGAGAGAGGGAAAAGGTCAGTGGGAGAGTGGATTAGGGATGAGAGAGGTGATACCCAGCTCTTGGGTAACCAAGAGCATACAACTTCACCAAGATCCACAAGATCTTGGCCTTCACACACCCCTTGGGAGAAGGGGTCTTCAAGGTGGTGATGAACTGCTGCTGCACATTATCTGGGGTTGGCTGAGATCTTGATCAGCCACCCAGTTCCACTGTAATGCATCCCCCTAGCCAAGGGGGTCTTCAAAAAAAAATCATCAGCAAACTGCCACGTGGCACTTTTGAAAATGGCCACGGGTCAAGAGAGGAGATGTAGAGGGCAGAAACTCTTTTGCCTATAACTTTTCACCTGCTGGGTGCACCTGCTGGGTGAAATTTGGCAAAATAGGTCTTGTTGGAAAGCTTTTTGAAAGCCACTTCCAACGAGATAAGTCGCAGCATCAGCCACTGCCTAGAGTAATAACGCTCGTTGAAAAAACGAGCGCGGGTGTTTTTTTTTTAACTTTTAAAAACATTGCGATCTTTGAAAGATTGTAGCTCCTCAACCACCACATAGAATTAAGCGATCTATAGCTTGTTGGAAGCGTCTCGTCGAGAGCTTTCCAAAAAGTTAAAGATCAATAAATTTGGATTACTGGTGCAGAAGTTAAGATTGAAAGAGTGAACCGGTGTCATTACCAAAGAAAAGTGGCGAGCGCTTTTTTTTTTTTTTTTTTTTGCTTAAGCCACGTGGCAACTGATAGGTGGGGTGGGTGGGGGAGAGGAGCAGGGAGGAAAGCCTGCTCTGATACCAGTGTGACGGACCCGCCGGGATGGCGGTCCGTCAGGATCAAGACGAAGGGATGAGGATGGGGGAAATGGAGATGGAGCTGGAAGGGACAGCGCAGCTCCAACGCAGACTCAACACGCACGTACTCCAATCTGTGCAAATGAAGAATGTCACAAAACAGACTGCAGCTGGGATATACCCCCAGCGGACTGACTGGACTGGACTGGTACCGACAGTGGTACCGGGCAGGACTGGACTGGACTGAATAACCGCACGGCCTGTGGGGTCAGGCCACGGCCTGGTCCCACAGGCCGGACTAGCAAATAGCCAAATACGCCCTGGCTGTGGGCCAGGGCAGATGAAGGTCCGCTGCAAGTAGGGTACATCTGTCACCTCCCAGTACGTTTCCTTTCTCCAAACATATCGCGGCATGACCTGGCCTTCCTGTTTGTACCACATACCATCTGTCACCTCAAGGCCATTCCTCAAGACATCTACCCAAGTCTGTGGTATCGCATTTTGCAACTGTTGAAGATGCTGTTGTTGTTGCCACAAACCAGTCAAAGCAGGCGTCATCAATTCAAATTTGAAACGTTTTTCAATCTGCTGAGTGAATGTCCCACAGATCCGACAGGGTTCCGACTCCTCTACCCATCCATGAGTTCTCAAATTGGCCAGGTCCAAAGCATGCAAAAGGTTGTCCCTGGACCGTCAAGTTCCAGGGGTTGTTGAACAACGGTTGAGCTAGCAATCGCTCAAATATCATCTGAGGAGGGTGCAGACGCGGGGAAACAGCTCTCCAGGCCTTCAAAATACCATCCCACACCCCCGATGGCATTTGGTTACGAAGATATTCAGGAAAAAGAAAAGCTAACCAAAAACCACGCAATTCAGACCAATCAAAAAGGAAAAAAAGAGTAAACTCAGCCAGTTGTCTCCACGGCGAATGTGGTGATTCCAGAATCGCCCATGGCACCCATTGTGCTAGCAGGGCAGTAATCTGGCTCTCCGGGTTCAAAATCATTGTATTGTATTTTTTTTCATGGTGTACGAAAACAAAAAAAACGAGAAAACCCTCCATAGGCATTTTTAAAATCCAAAAAATGTGTCGCACACCGATTTACTCTTCCCTAGTGGGACTTGGCCCCAGGGGGTAATATTGCAGCCTTGCTACAACAGTGCTTCTGGGCTTCCAAATGCCAAGTTGAACCAAAAGGCTACAAGTTGTATGTGGAGTAGTGGAGAATTGGGAGAGGTTTTGTGACTTAGAAGCACTGTGGATTGGACTGGATATCGGAGGTGTGTTTTTGTTTGTATTTACGTGCGGGGACTTATGTGTGTTTTGAGGGCCTCCCATTGGGTGGTATTTCTTTTCTTTTTGAATAGGTGTTCCTCTTTGGGTCCCTACGGTGAGCGAAAATCATAAAGATTTTTTTTGTGATGATTTTTTCACACACCTTCTTCTCCTTCCGCACGTGGCCGTCTCAGGATTGCCGGCAAAACCGACCGAGACTAGGGGCGTCGTTAGACACTCCTCGAGCCGTCCTCGAACTCCGAGGACGAATCCTCAAAAAATTTTACGTGTTTTTGAGGTGTCGTTCCACCTGTCCTCGGAGAATCGTCCCGAGGACGAATCCTCGAAGCCCTCCCGCGGCCAGTTTCATGACATTATACACGGTCACGAGGGTGTTGTCCGACTTTCGATTCGGGATGTCCGTGTTGGAGGCATGGAGGTCCAGTATGCGGACGGCGGTAGTGCGTCACGGGGTGCGGAAAAAATAAATCGCCAACGCGGGAACGGCCCCATTCGAATTTCGAAATTCGAATTTACGCCAATCGGAGCGACGGTGTGGCGGCGCACACGCGGGTCGGCGAGGAGGGGGGGCAGTGCATGTCGCGAAGGGTTTTGGCTGCCATGGCATTGCGCACTTAAGTGCCGCTGCACCGCCACGTCTCCAGGGTGTTCGACGCCGCGCCGCGCTTCGTATGCTGCCCGTAGTTGCACTCGTGACGCAGAGGGGCGCGGTGGTTCCGTACTTCAGCGGAAGTGGGCGGACGCTCCAATCGGTGTGGAACATCGTTGAGCACGGCAGCATTGCTCACCTGATTGCAGGCGCCTTCAATCGCGGTGGGAGAGGTGCGCGCAGGTGGGTGGCGAGGAAGGTTTCTTTTCCTGTTCAAAGGGCGGAATGGAGGGCTGCGATTGCGATGGTCGTGCTGTGCTGTCCAATGCGGAGAAGACAGCTGTCGCGGCGGCTGCTGTCGCAGTTGTCCGTCGATTCCAGGTTGAGAGGGCGGCTGGGCGCATGAAAGTGAAGCTTTCCAAGCGGGGACAGAGGATTCTGCTGCAGAGGGTGTTGGACGCCCCTGACTGCGTTACCACTTCTGCAGCAGTGCTTCAGCTATGCTTTGCAATAGGGTGCGGTGTGGTTCCTCAGACGACGCCACGTTGGTGGATGAGGCAGAGAACCGGCGGGACTTGGGAGGATTTGCGGCTCTGCGATGACGCGACGGACGACTACTTCCGAGAGAAGCTCCGCATGTCGAGGAGAGTCTTCATTGAGATCAGCGAAGCGTGTGCACCTCTCTTGCGACGACAGGTGACGTTCTACAGGGAGCAGATCGTCGCCTATGCGCTGTACAGGTGGGCTACAGGAGAGTCATACGACAACAACACCTCACCTTTCGGCATAGGCAGGGCTTCCGGAATTCTGGTCGTGTGCGATGTTAAGGGTGTATGGGGACAGGATATCGTGGCCGACGGGGGTGCGAAAACAAGTCGTGCTGCGGGCGTTTCTGGACAAGGGTTTTCCAAACTGCCATGGCGCAGTTGACTGCACACACATCTACGTGGACAAACCGACGAACGCGCCCAGCGAGAAGTACTTCGACTGCAAGCACCGTTTCTCCGTCATTGCGCAGGTGGTGGTGGACCTGGATCTGCGCGTGCTAGACGTGTTCGTCGGATATCCGGGTAGCTGCCACGATATCAGGGTGATCCAACTGTCGAGTCTGTCCGCAGAACAGGGAGTGCTTTTTCGTGGGCCGCCTGTGACGCTGCCGGGGGGGGTGAGGATGAACGGTCACATCTTGGGAGACAACGCGTATCCTCCCTCTGAATGGGTAGTTGTGCCGTATGGAGGAATCAATCAGCACCCGGACGAGGAAAGGTTCGACACGAAGCAGAAGGTCGCAAGAGGGGCTGTGGAGAGGGCGTTCTGGAGGTTGAAGGGGATGCGGAGGCTCTTCCTGCGGACACACAAGACAGACCTGGAAACACTACGGCAGCAGTTCACGGCAGTCTGCATTCTCCACAATGTCCTCCTCGATGCCGGTGTCGAGTTCAACGAGAATTTGTTGTGGGAGGTCGACGAGAACGGAGTGAGGCGCCGAGTGGACCTGGGGATTCATCGTCCCCTGCAGCCAGTATCGATGTTGACGTCCACCGGTCCCGCCCTCGCGCTCTGCGACACGCTCGCAGAGCGAATGAAACACCTGTGATCCTGTGCACTGCCTGCGTCTTTCACGCGCGGAACACTTGCTTCGAGTCGTGTTCTACCGTCTTCGATTAGTTAGGAGGGTTCGCCCTCTTTCGCTTTTGCGCGCGACGAAACAGATGGTTTTCGGTCGTGGGCGGTCTTCTTCGGAGTTCGTTCTTATGGTCGACGGTAGTGCGGTTGTCCAATTTGTCTATGGTTCCCAGTGACGTGGCTCTGCGGTCGTTCGACGTCATGTCGGCAGTGGTTCGGTTGTGCACTTTGTTTGGAATTGAACGATGTCGGTGGTGGTGGGGGTGTGGGTGGGGTGGTTAACAGCTCCTCGGCGAGCTTATGAGTATGTGGTTTACAACACTGCTTTATTTCAAATTGAACGATGTTGTCGACTCCTGCGCTTGTTTTGATTGCTATGTGATGACTTCTTCGTGCATTCCGCTTCTTCCTTTCGTTCGGCGACCGACTTCTTTCTCAACCTCATTCAAAATGTTTGTCATTCACACACTGTGTTCAATTTTATGCAGTTGCTCAGGGTCATCGTTGACGCATGAATGCGGCAATGAGGATTCATGTACATTAAGAAACGAAACATTTCAATTTTGTTATTTAGCAAATGCGTTGCGACAGTGCGTGGCCAGGTTTGTTTCTCTCGTCCTGTTTTGTTTTTTTTGTCGTTCCCGTTTTCGCAGGTACAGGCCATGATAAGGACGCAGACTTGACACACATCCGACGAAGGGCCGTTTGGAGAAGCAAAAGATTTGAAGGACACGACAATCGCTATCAACGCATTCCATACATGATACATTCACACGAAAGACAACAAAACCAACTTTGAGCAACGAACCATGGACATGCGAGTACACAATTCTCACACACGAAATGAGACTTCAATTACATGCATTCCTTCCGCAAACGAATATTGACGCGGAATTCGAAAACACGAGTCCAACTGTACACCCTCGAAGCGCACCACAGCAACGACGTACTCCACCTGCCTTCTACTTCATTCCTAACGTGTCGTGGAATGGCCTAATACACAAGGCTTTGGAGAAGATCTACGATCTCTGCTCCAATGACAAACTAATAACAACGAAAAGAAAAAACCTAGCAGGTGGATTGTTGACACAATAAACCTCCACCTGCCTTGTACTGTCACCTCACACTAAAACAACATGCGCACGAAGATAACGACTGTCGACGTCGCGACACCACCGATCTGCACGCTCCAACCATGACCATCAACGACAACACGTGTAGCGCGATGGAGGGGTTGTACCCATCCATCGCCATGGAGTGCTGCGCAGGAACGGCGACCGGCCATCTCATCTTCCATACAACACCCCCCACCCCCACCATCATTCCCCCCCACCGTCGCCCCCATCCCTCCGCGGCCTTGCGGATGAACCACGTGTCACTTCTCGTCATCGCCATCATCATCCGCCGGTGGGGGCCGGTGGGCCGCTGCCGATACACCCGTGTTTTGCTGCTTTCGCTGCATTCTTGAGGGTCGCGTTGTGACCGAAAACCAATCCGCAATCGGCCCATTCGGGGATGCAATGCATGTAATCTCCCAGCGTGAGGTGGGCCTTCCCCAAACGATCCAAGACGAGGTTGGCGCTGTCAACGATGTGCCGCCGCCAGTTGAAGATGTAGGAGCCCGCCGCTATGAGTCTCGGTTTGGCGACCATGGACGCGTAGAATGATGCCTCGTAGTGCGAGCGGTCGTCATCACCGCCCATCCGCATGATCCACATGCACGCGATCAACAGAACTCGAAGACAATCCGCAAGGCGCGTCAACCTATCTTGTTTCATGCGGCCACCGTCGGCCCATTGCCCGCACCAAACTACATCTGTCCAGCAGTCTGCAAGGCGCAGAACTGTCGCCTCCTGCCGCGCCGTCATGTCGTCGTCTTCGGGCCTATCCACAATCTTCACTCCAGTGAACCATAGAGGCACGTCCATCTTCATCGTCAGCGTGTGGTAGACAAGGGCAGGGGAAATGACTCTCGACCATTCTAAAGCCTGCCAGACTTTTCGCGCGACGTCTGTTGCGAAGTCCAATGTCACGTACGATTCTGCACGAGCGAAGCTTGTCGACCTCGATGACGATTTGAAGATCCAGCCGTGGATGGCACGCAACACCACTTTCTCCACGTTGCGCGCTCTGCGCAGAGCCGGTTCACGCTGCGCAGGGTCGTCGATCTTGAAGCGCGGCACATCATTCGGCGGCATTACCAGCATCGAAGGCGGTTCCGCTCCTGCATCCTAGTTGGCGATGGCGACGAAGTAGTCCGTGCAATCGCCTACCGCCTCCCTCAATGGCTTCCCCAGTCCCTGACCCCAGGATGCTTAGGGGTGGGCATCCTACGGAACAGCTAAGGTTTGTTGCTGAGACGACGCTGGTCGGAGCTGGGGTGAGTTGTGTCACCCTGTAACCTAGCAGGATGTGGGGTGGGAGACCTGGAAGAGCTCCCTCAATGGCTTTAACCCCTTTCTTCACCATCGCCGTAACCGGACGGTCGTCGTCATCATCCGCCCCCCCCCTTGCATCCTTCCTCCCATCATCGCGGCGGACGTCATCAACCCTCTCCTCTCCCGCACCCTCCGCAACTCCGCTCGCAGTGGTGTTGTCCGCCACCGCCGTCCGACCACTGCCCGTCGTCGTGTCGACCTTTTGCGCGGATGGTGTTTTTTCCAACCCTGAAGTCCCCGCCTGTTGCGCTGGAATTGGCTAACGTGGCGCCACGTGCACGACCTTTGGCGGAACTTGTCTCGCCGCGCGCGCGTCCGTCATGACAATCCCTGCCGACCTCGGGGTTCATGCCAACGAGACGGCGACACCACCGAGCAAGCCTTGCTTCACAACGGCCAGCTGCTCCCTCGACACCCCATCCCGCCCAAACCCCAATCCCTTCACGACGTCCGCCCCTTGTGCATCCACCATCGACTCTTCCTCGTCGTGCGAATCCCCACTATGTTCAGAGTTGTCGTCATCGAAGCGCGGCCTTTTCAACTTCGGTATGTGCCCTCTGCCTTTTTGGGTCTCCCCATCGTCGCCCAATCCACTGTTTCTTTTCGCCTTCCCTGAAGCGCCGCGCGGTGCCATGTCGTCCACAAAGAAGTGCGTGCCGAATGCAGAAAGCTGCGGCGCTTGGCTGACGTGGACGACGACGATAAAGGAGCGGCGGGAGGTCGATGACGGGCACCTTGTCGTTGGACGACGTTGACGATGCGGGCTTCGCTGATGTGGAAGAAGTACCAGTCCGATGGCACGCCGCTTGGCTGTCGTGGATGCAGGAGGACGTGGATGCCCGCGGAGCCCAAACCCGGCGATAGTAGCGTGACAAACGGATGACTACGCCTGCGACGACGATACCATGCACAGACGGTGCCTTTGTAGTTGTCGCGATACAATGCCAGCGGTACAGAATGCCTCCCGGAATGCCCTTTTCTACGGTGCGCGGTCTCGCAGCACACCATGGACAGGACAGGCCGTCCACTACAGCCCGCCCCTTCGTCGATTCACAATGGACGAATTTTCTCGCGACGTGGAGGTCATCCCCCGCAGGAGGTACAAAGACCCCGCCATTCCCCCCCTCCCCCCCCCCCCCCCCCTCCGTCTTCTCCCGCCCCCAAATAGGCCAGGCACTCCAATCCGCCACTTTCCCCTCGCGTCCCAAAAAAACAACCCTGCCGCCTACACATACGCGGACACCCCCAAAGAAGACCCTGGAAGATCGCCATCCATGCCTGCAGACAACAACTCACAACAGCGTTCTTTAAACACTATCTAAAAAAAAGGAGGACCTGTTGTACAACCTCAGGATGCGGTGTGGGGCATGAAAGCAAACAACGCCCTTCACAGTCAATTCTAAAACCCGCGATTATTACTACGTGTGAGCAACGACGACTCGTCGACTTTACACAACCTACACATCACCGTGCTGCAGCATGGAGGACAATGGAAAAGGCGACGTGTCGGAAGTGCATACGGGCCATGCCTCTGGACGTTCGACATGCCTGGTCGGCCCACGTCAAGCTCGTTCGAGGATCCCCTTAGCAATCTCCATGAGGGCGTTGCACATCAAGAAGTTCGCCTCGTCAGCCTTCTCGTAGTGATCCTTCTGCACTTGTATCTCTCTCTCCAGAATGTCGCATTGCCTCGTCTTAATCGAGCACTGCCTCTTGCTTGCGCTGTCCGCCGTCGTCGACATCAGCGCCCCGTGCTCCTTCATGACGTCCGCCATCGCCTCGAAGGTCTGCTATCTGACATTCTTTCGTTTGCCGGCCCCACCACCGCCACCGCCGAAGGACGACGAATCCCTCGTCGATCCGCGATCGTCGTCCTGACCGCCCCCCCCCTACGTCAGTACCGCCGGAATCATTTCGCCCACCAACCGTGTCAGGCAATTGAACACCTCCTGGCGTACCCGTGTCCGCGCGATTCGTGGGGTGTATAGTGTGATCGCCCCCAGACATCGCCTTCATCTCCGAATATACGCGCTCATCCATCTTAAAGTCGAACCCCCGCTCCCTCCTTTCCCCCGGCGTTAGTGTGAAGAAGTTAGGCTTGCCGGACTCTCCTATGAACTTGTGCACGGATTTGAACTGCTAGTACAGGTTGTCCCATTTCTTTCCGCAGTCGATGGCCTTCCTACTGGTCACCCCCATCTGCACCAGCCTCTTCTCCACGTCCTCCCACTTCCATGTCTTCGTCTTCATCCGTCCGTAGTTGTGCCCCAGGCCGTCCAGATGCGAATCCTGGTCTCTTTTGGCTCTGATAAGAGCGATCATATGCTCCACTGTCCAAAAATCCCTGCTTTTTGTTCCGTCGCCTGCCGACGATTCTTCGCCGCACTTCTTGCCTTTCTGCCCCGTGCGCGATTCTCTGACCTTGGTTCTCGCCGTCGACCCTCCGCGCTTCCTCCCTATTGGACGAATCTCCATCTCGCTGTCTTCGTCTTCGTCGTTGTCATCACCGCCGTCGTCTGCAGCGATCTCCTCGCCCCCTCCACCAGCGCAGTCCTGAAATTCTTCTTCGGCCCCCACACTGATTCTCGCCACCCCTCTCCTTATGCTGGCCGTGCTCGTGGAACGCAATCGTTGTCGTTCATCATCCCAAAACTGACGATCGACGACCTCCGTGGCGTCGCGCTCGTCGTCGTCTCCTTCTCCGTCGATTGCACCGCCTGGCGTCGTCGTTCGACAGCCTGCCAATCCGACTGTCTTCGTCTTCGACACTGCCACACTTGCTCTACTCAAATCCACCCGCCTCGGCGAAACGAATCCATGGCTATCCGCGGGGCCGGCCGCCCTCACGGAAGGCGATGTGTGTTTCGAGGCAGAAGCCGGGTTAACGAGAACAGTGTGCGTCAGGCCCTCGCCACTCCCAGACCTAAGACCGAAGCTCAGATTGACGAGTCCAGCGTCGTAACCAGCGGGGGTCCGGCCCTCCAGCAAATCAGTGTACGTCGGCGTCGATGCGTGTCTATACACCTAGCTCCCCATCCAATCCTGCGTCGAGCCGCTGCCCAGAGGAACCATTGAGGATCTTGGGTCGTCGACGTCGTCATCACTCGGAGGCAATGGAATCTCGTGGGACGGCAGGTGACCGTACAGCGTCGGGTCGTACGGCCTCCTGCCGCCTTCCGCACTGTTGCAACACTGACGCGAGGACCCCCCGCCTCCCACCGACAGCGTCGTCTTCGTCTGAAGCTTATCCATCTTCGTCGCCCTCTTCGCCATTCGACGCGTCTGTTTCCTTCCAGGAACGCGACCGAGGAAACAGATGTGGAAGACGACAACGATGAGCAGCAGCAAAGGCAGCCTGCGGTACAGGTCTGGCATCAACGACAAGTCAGCCAACACAGAACCATTGTCGCAATCGCTGCGAGCAGAGACACACTGTGCGAGAGGGAAGACGCCAACGAACGAAATTCATGCAAGCAGCGACAGGGGGAGGACGCTTACAAAATCCGTAATTCCGACCGTTGGGAAGCCCGCGGGAACGCCACAAAGCCTCCGAGCGCCGGCCGAAGACGTCCGACAATCGCCATGGCCCCTCCGTGGGGCCGCCCGAAGGACCTACAGGGTCGTCCCGCGATTCAGCGCCAACGGTAAAACGAGGAGGCCGTTGCTGGAGGTTTTCGACTACGACGGCGAGGGATGTCCGTCTTTTGGCCGCTGGACCACCACTGGACCACCTTCGGCCTCCAATTTCCGTTCTGGAGTAGCCGCCGACACCCCGTTAATCGCGGATCCTCGGGCTCCGAAGGACCTCGCGAGGTCCTTCGAGTTCGAGGGCGATTTGGCTGGGAAATCCTCGGAGCCCGAGGATCTGTCCTCGGAGTGTTTTCACATTTTCATTTCTGATATCATCTCCGAGGACAGGTGGAACGACGAAGGAATCCTTGGAATCGCGTCCCCGAGGAGTGTCTAACGACGCCCTAGGTCATGATAGGAACATGGCAATGTCCCCGTGAGACAGTCTCCACCTGGTACCCCTGCACCTCACATCCCCACCGTCTTCTTCTCTCTTTTGGGTCATTGCCCAAGTTGGCATTGCTTGGAAGACATGCCCAAGTGATCATTGTGGTTTGTGAGATGTTGGGGGGGGCTCTAACCCCTCACCGACAGCACATGCGGCATGGAGTTGCTCTTGCCGTCCTTTGCCAAAAGTGAATTTTTCTGTCTGAGCGAAGGAGAAGGAGGAGCTTACAAAAAAAAAAAAAAAAAAAGAAGGAGGAGCTTACACTGCCGGCCATTTCAAGGAAACCTCAGACTACTGTCAAATTGAATCATGGCATGCAGTCTTTCTTTTTGACTGACACCGTCATCATGATGGTCAGTGAATCATACCCTGACATCTGATGCCCCGCCAGGGAGCAGACATGATAGATGGGAAGAGCACTTTCTTTTTTTTTTTTCTTTTTTTTTTTCTTTTTTTTTGTGGAATAATCATTAGCTTTGATTTCAAATGAAAGGAGACGTTCATTTTTTCTTCTCATGATATGGTTTTTGGTTTTCATTTTCACTATGGCAAGGACCCCACAGGACCGTGGAAAGGAAAAACTTTGCCGCAACACTGTTTCCAGGACCCGACAGCCAAAATTTGCTGCAAACGTCCTGGAAAAGATGAAATTTCTTCTGCAAACCCTTTTCCAGGACTCCACAGACAGAAGATTGCGGCTTGGAAAAACATCGTTTTGTGTTTTCACATAGGGTGGGACCGCACTGCGGTGTGGATGGTAAAGACGTGTGGCCACAAAAAGCGGGCAAGTCATTTTGGAAAGTCGGAAAGTACTTTTCCGGGACCCGGGACCCCATCGCAGAGGACCAAATGCGCTCATTAAGAAAACCCTTTGGAAATCAGTTGAGCCAATCGTTGCCTGTTTCCGATGGCACTCGGTTTTTTTTTTTTTTTTCCTTTTTTTTTTTTTTTTTTTTTTTTTTTTTTTTTTGTTGTGGCACTCTTCACCTCTATTGGCTGCTGCCTCCCATCCACGGGACCTGGTTTTGGAGACATTCAAGACGGCTCTGGGGGCCAATCTCAGCTTTCGGCACAAATTTGCAGCGTCATTTCCTCCACTCGCCGTTTGGTGACCGTGGACCATGTGAAAACATCCGCAGGCGATCTTCCAGGCCAAGAAATGCGGGCTGTGGGGTCCCGGAATACGGTTTTTGGAAGACATTTCGGCCTTTCCATAAGCTTTTCCGCAAGGTGTGGGGTCCTGCAAACACTTCCGCGACAAAGTTTTTCCTTTCCGCATTCCTATGGCGTCCGGGCCACAGTCCGCGGCCTGAAAAAGTCTCACGGGAGGATTCCTCGCCGAAATTTTGTGCCGACTCTAGAGGGTAGGGGGGAAGGCATGTCTGTCCTGGAAAAGTCTCACGGGAGGCAGCAGCTAATAGCGATGAAGCGTGCCACCAAAAAAAAAAAGAAATTTGGAAAAAAAGAACAAAACAAAAGGGGCTCGCGAGACGGGTGGTTGCTGTGGTATTCTTGAGCCGTCCCTGTCCATCACCGAGACCTGTCTGCTGGGTGCGTGAAGCACGCACGGAGGGGAACGGTGGGAGGGGTACTATGGCGGGTGACGATCTGATCTTACCGCCAGTGGACCTTTCATCTTTCGACTTTCTTTCTTTCTCTTTCTGCATGTGTTTACTGATCAAGGCGTCACAAGGAGAGTGGCTGGAGATAGCGGCATAGGATGCATAGTCTCCTCTGTTTACTTTCATCTGCCCAGGCGAAGCGGTGGACTCAAGTCTCTGCGGTAAGCTTGAACTCCCTGGGTGGCTCGTTGGCAGTTTCAACGAGATGTTGCCCCACAATCCCGATGTTGGAGAAGTTTAGGGGGATGGCCGATTGGTACCTTCGTTTGCCTGTATTGGTGTTTTGGCAGGCCCTTGAGGCTGTTAGGGCAGGTAGATGGAGGGAGTTTTGTTCCTCCCTCCCAAAGGTGAAGGGGTTGGGTTTGAGTGAGGGTAGATGAAGGGGAGACAGAGGGTTTTTTTCTTACGAGATGCTTCACGAAGTAACACGGCTGTAAGAAAGGAAGGAGGGCAACCTTCCCCCGTTCATAACCATGATTTCCTAATTCACGTGTACTAATGATTGATTTTATAAGGGTGGATAATCAGAAGATCTTAGTCTACGATTTCCTGATTCGATTTCTTTTCGCTGCCCATTTTCTTCTGAATTTCTCAGTTTACGACGAGTTCCTGATTCGATTTCTTTCCGCTGTCTATCTGGTACTCTTCTGGATTTCTCAGTTTACGATTTCCTGAAATGCTTTCTTTCCGCTGATGATTGACATGCTTAGTTTAGACTTGAAACCTCGTAAAAGCTTCCAAAAAAAAAAAAAAACTTCTGATTCTTGAATTTTTCCTATAAAAGTTCTTAAAAATATTCTTGAAATATTTTCCTATCAAAGCTTCTAAGAAATTTCTGATTCTACAACTTGAAAGGCTTCAAAAAAAATTCTGTTTCTTGAAACATTTTCCTATAAAACCTTCTAAAAAGATTCTCGAAATAATTTTCCTATAAAAGCTTCTAAGAAATTTTCGAAAACATTCTTCTGTAATAACCCGTCAGAATACAGACTGAGAATACTGCTGATTTCCTAAGTTCTGCATATGGGATGGATGCCTTGCTGAGAATCCCGCATTCTGCTGGGATTTCTAAGTCTGTGTGTGTGTGCACTTGTAATCTGTGTGCCTGTATGAGTGTTTACTGGTATGTGTGTGTGTGCGTGCTTGTAACCTGCATGCCTGACTGAGTGCTTGTCGGTATGAGTGTGTGAGACCCGCAAGGGTACTTACGTGTTGGTAGGCCCAGAGGGCCGGTACTTACCTGTGGCCGTGGCATTGAAGGGTTGCAGCAGGGGAAAACACTCGAGTGGCGGGTAGGCCGGTACCGCACCCCGTAGCGGTAGATGTGAGGGGTACTGGAGTCCGAGCAGAAAAGACAAAGTTGGCATTTTTAGAGGCCCAGTAGCGGTAGGTTAAGTCTAGGCCGGTACCAGTCTGTCCAGTCTGAGTCTAGAGCCTGTACGGGTAACATCAGAAGTCTGCAATGATGTTTCCCTCCGAATGGGAGGAGGTACCGGTTGCTGGGAAGGCCGAGCGGCCTGGAAGTCACCGCCCAAGAGGCAAGCAGGCCGCTATATCTTCAGGCCGGGCAAAGAGCCCAGCCTCATTGTTCAGTGTGCGAGTTGGGCGTCACGCTGCTGGAGCGTTGGAAGGAGCAGCGCTAGCTGCTTTTAGCGCTGCAAGGAAGGAGAAGCCGGGAGCTTCCACCTAGGGCTATGGTGGAGCTCGCCCGGTAGGAGGAGGAGGGAGAAGGACTGAGGGAGGAGAGTGACGAGGTACTTACCTGGCTATGGGAGACACCATCTTCATCACCTTGCTAGGCGCTGCATCTGGAAGGCCCCGTTGGGGTAGTGCCGCATCATGGAAGCTCAGGGCAGACTTACGCATGGTGGATGAGTGAGCAGCTTCATAGCTGCCAAGTGATGACCTTGGAACAGTGGGCAGCGGCATAGCTGCTGGGTTTGTCCGTTGCAAAGGAGGGAGAGACCTCCACACTCCGCCATTGCCAGGCCTATGGGAAGAGGAAGAGGAAGGTGGCCATGGCTATGGTGGACTTCATATGGAGCCTGAAGTAGAAGTGGGATTCGGACATTGATTCTGGTTCATGCCATTCAACACTATTATTGTTATTTTTGTTTGAATAGGAGAGGAGGAGATAAGGAGGAAGAGCCTTGTCTTTGTTATATGCTGGAGTACATCATCCTCTTCTATCTGACTTCTTCATCTTCTTCTAACCCTCTCTCTCCTCTCTCAAGTTCATTCATTTCTATTTGCAATTGGATGGCATTGACCTTTCTGATCTTTGTATACTTCGAAATTGGCCAGGATCGTAACACGTCAAATAAATTCCTAGAGAAGCTCCATAAAATTTCTGATTCTATATAACCGCAAGTTTGGTTCTGGAGATCTCAGGTAATTCTGATTTTGATCAAGGAAGGAGGGGGGGAATGAAAAAGGGGAGGATGGGAGGAGAGGTGGCCTTCAGTCAGAGGATGGATGTCGGTGAAGGTGAGTAGGTCAGGAGGACGAGGCTGGGATGACATGGGCCGGTGCTGGAGCTTGGCTCTCTGACCCAGGGGGGAGCTTGAGGCCCATGGAATTATGCTGAGGGTGGAAGGTATAACCAGATCGTCCAACACAAGCGGCGCCGGGGTTCTGACCCTGTAACCTGTGTAGGGGTTAGTCGCTATGGGAATTGTCGAGGAAAGAAGGCACTTCCTATCTGACAGAACTAGGTTGGCCGGTACTGGGGAAGGTTGCGATGCCCTGTTGCCCATGCAGAAGGGGGTATGAGACCAATTGTGTTCTGGTTCGAGGACCGAAAGTCGAGACCGACGACTCCTTTGTTGAGGGGGGGATTTTAGGTTGGTTGGTATCTAGTCTTGACCTT